CCAAACCAAACTGACTTTTACCGACAAAACAAAAAAGAAGTACAGATCATATGGTGATGATGATTTGTACATATGTTGCTAACACAATGCAGCTATACAAACAGAACACAACACCAACCGAAGCAGGTGATATGCAGACCGCTACCGGCGTCCCAGGTACAGCCGAAGTTGCAAATATCTTGAGGGTTATTCGGATCCAAATAGAAAGCCGCGAGGAGAGTCAAGGTGGGCTTCAGTAGTCTTCACCTGACCTACCAAAAGAGGAGCGAAGGGGAGCACGCCCTTCAAGCGCCCAGCACAGTCTTTCGTCGGCTCTTGCCCTCCCGACTTCATCGGTAGCACTGGAGCCCGGGTCATGCCCACTTTGTACCGGCACCGGACACCAATTGCAGGACTGCAAAACTGACATATTTTCCGACACGAAACGAAACCAATTGAGAGCTGCAAGGTGTTGTTTCCTATACGGCAAGGTCAACCACGTAGCCCGTAATTGCCGTACGTCGACACGATTGGTATGCGGTAACTGCAGCGGACGCCATATCACCATCCTCTGCGACATATGGCGCGTCCCTCAAGACAGGTCAAGACCGAGCTTCACCGGTGTCAGTGAATCACGTAGAGACGAGAACCGAGGCCTTCAAAACAACGTGACCACTACTCCCACTACCAGCACGGGAGTGTCATCGGTTTCCCTTCACACCGCGAAGGCCTGGGCTACAGGCACCACCGACAGCGCACTCGGAAGGGTTCTTCTGGACACCGGAAGCCAGCGGACATTTACAAAACGAGAGACCTCGGAGAGGCTTCGATGTCCAGTTCTCGGTACCGAAGAGCTTACCATCTACACATTCGGAAACACTAAACGCCCCTCAAATTATCGCTGCCGCCGTGTCGATTTGACGCTAAAGAGCCAATACAGCACCACCAAGGTTACCGTTGAGGCGCTTGAAGTGTCCGAACTATGTACTGTAACGACACCGCCTTTCGACAACGATATCCTAAATCAGCTAAATTCTGAAGGGCTGATTGTGGCTGACGTCGCCTCCCCCTAGTTTACAGGCTGACACAAAGGTCGGTGTACTTATCGGCTCCGACGTCTACTGTAAGGTAGCAACTGAACAAATTCGCCGTCTAAGTGAGCATTTGACGGCAGTGCGTACCATCTTTGAATGAATGGTACAAGGCCGCTCCATGTGGCCAACGAGTGACCGAAGTAACACCACCGCCGTTTCAATATCCAGCTGTTAAACATCGCACTCCTAAATGCTACCTAATCTATCTGAGATGTGGCGACTGGACGCTATCGGCATCTCCGACCTTCCCTCGTCGGACCCAGCAACTCACCCAGCGTTACTTCAATTCAACGAACAGTTCGTTAAAAAGCAAAACGGCGACAGTGCGAATGTGTATGCGGTGGTTGTGTTCAGTGAGGCGTCGACGCTCTCTGGCGCGTGTTGTTGTCCACGGTTTTAGTCTTTTCCTTCGGGAAACAAGGAAAATGTAGATAAAAGAGAAATGACAAATTTGACGAAGGCGAACCACGTCGAAGCGCTTCACCAGAGAGGCGTGCCAGTGCCATCCGGCTCGCCGAAGAAAGCAGCACGTTTTGGACGACGATCGTTTCACGTCGGGCGACTACTCGAGCGATGAGGACGTCCGAGAAACCTCCAAGGAACTCGACGACAGCTGCACGTTCCCGGAGGTGTCCGACAGCTTCACGTCGCTTTCAGACGACGCCTTGCTTGCCAAGCCCCGCGACTTTGGTTTCCAGGCAGGACCTGTTGTAGCATCGACTCGGAGCCCGGATGAGGAGCAGCTTCAGGAGCTGCTGAACAATGGCAGCGTCCCGACCACTCCATCCGTCGCAACCGACGAGTTTTCTGCCACAGAGGAAGAGGAGCCTCAAGTCATCCCCGAGAACAGCTCTGACGATGAGGACGGTGGTATGCCGCTGCACAAGAGACCCACGACATTCTTTTCTCCGAGTGCCCAGAGTGTCCTATTCAACCTGAGCAACAGCAACTCCCCCGGCGTGAACGAGGCCGTGCAGCCGAGTCGGCGTTCGTTTACCTACAGCACCCGCGGCAGCAGCCTTCCTCAGGCAGGTTCACCTGCCAATTTGACGCTGCCTTCCAGAGCGGGAACACGTGGAGAGGACATGGCGGGCCACAGTGCGGCTACCACGCCGGCTGATGGCAAGCAGCGCCGCTTGTACATGGCGGTCAAGGTACTCATCGTGCTGGTGGTGATCACCGTGAACGTGTTATCTACCTGTGAACGCCCGTCGAGCAGGGGTCGTTTGAAAGAAACATCTTAATCAGTCGCTCCCGCATCGCTCTCGTTAAACCAGTAAAGCTACCCCGTTTGGAATTGCTAGCGTGCTTGCTAAGAGCGCGTCTCTTTGAATACGTAAAGAAAACACTAAGGATCGCTCATCTGCAAGTTTAATTTTGGACTGACTCGGAGCTTGTCCTATGCTGGATTGCCGGTGACTCAACAAGATGGCAGCAGTTCGTGCGAAACCGTGTGATCGAAATCCAGCGCCTCACAGAACAATTTCCTTGGACCCAATGCCCGAGCCACGGTAATCCGGTAGAATGCATCCGCGTTCTGAGGGACGACGACGTGATCAACGTTGTTTGGGGGGAGCGCGACTCCGAGAAGATCTGCTCGGCTCCAAATTACGTCGTGCGGAACGGCGTAGTGAACCGGCATTTAGAAGAGCCCGACCTGCTGCCCCCAAAGAAAGAGAAGCCAAAGGTTGCAGATAGCATTGAACCCGTCAATCTGACTCCAGCCGTCTTCGTTTCACTTAAGGTTTCCGTAGAGCCAAAGGTAAACCACAAACGATCTGAACATGAATCCCACTGGGACGAGATGGAAGCAGACAGTGAGTGACCAGCCGAAAGAAGTAGACGCCAGAGGGCAAGGAGAAGCGAAAAACGAAGGACAGAGCGATGCAAACGAAGACGAGGCTTTTGCACCGGACGACTGTTCAACTCCCGTCTAACAAAATATGCTAATGGACAAGTCAGAACGGCCGCCGCCCTCTTTAGAGAAATCACTGATAGTTTGCAGGCTTCAGTTGCCTGGATTGGAACGTGCAGTTAAGGCTGGGAGAGGAGGAGAAGATTTTAGGGTCGTGCCTTCGCCTCCCAGGATGATGCCTCGAACTGTGACAGAAAAGGGTACGCCGCTCTCGTCGACAACTGCCGAGCCGGAGACGAAATCAGAGCCCAACTCCACCGCGGGGTCTTATGCAGTTTTCCCGAAACTCAACACGCCTTCGAAAGTCGGAGATGCGATAGCGTTCAAGGTGCTTAAGTTCGATGCCAAGTACTGCCGCAATATGTTAGAGTACAAGGAGAGCAAAGTCCGGCACCACAGCAACACTGCCTCGACTTTAGGTCGGCGACGTGGTCATTGTAGAACACGACAACACTCCTCTTCTGCTATGGAAACATGGTCGGATAACGAAGATGTTCTCCGGCAGACATGGCGTGACTTGAGCATGCGCACTACGATTCTCCAGCGGCTCGGAACTACGCCGTCCTGTTCAGCGCCTTTATCTGCTCGAGGCGGGATCATCTCCTTCGTTGCCGCAGGGGGGGGGGGGGGGGGGGGGGGGGGGGGGATTTTGAATATTAGAAGAAGACCAGGGCCCATAAGAGGCACGAGCTCGTGGGCCAGCGCACCCGGCGAATCTGTCGTTCAGGAATAGAATGGATGCGAGTGCTACGGAGCGGTTCTTCAAAATCTCCCGGGTTTCAGCACCAGCGTGTGGAAAGGTCTAGAAGCGCTCCGTACCGCTCGCATCCATTTTATCCCAGAACGACAGATTCCCCGGGTGCGCTGGCCCACGAGCTCGTGCTCTTATGGGCTCACGTCTTCTAATATTCAACAGTCACTTCATTTCCTACGGAGCAATAACTAATTAATTATATGCCCGAGAAATGTCGTGTCCTGTTTTGTTTTTTTTTTGTTTTTTTTTTGTTTTTTTTTAAGTTGTTAGACTATGGAGAAATATATCACAGAAGATAAGGTGTATCAAAATAATTTCCATGAGTTAAATTTTCTGAAAGCAAAGTTAAGATATTTTATATGATTGAAAAACACTAAAAAATGTCTGCCATATATATAGTGGAATGAGATCAATATTAAACGAAGCAATGGAATTCACACAAAAACGAGTGGACTGATTAAAAATATACCATCGCCAATTTTTGACATCAAAGCATTGTTTGATCTGTTTTATAATGTTAATTAGGTTACTCACTCTCTGTAAATAATTCTATTGGTATTTGTTTTAATTGCTATCAGAGCGTAAGCATTCTTTAGGCTCTAGCCAGTGCATGTGACCAGATCTATGCTCAAAAAGTTGGTTCAGACATCAAAATATCTGTAGTTGCACGATATTAATAGGCCGTCATGGGGGATAAAATGATGAAAGGAACAAATAAGGAAAATAGAAGAAAAAACATTTGACGACTGCGATGATCACGTTCGTGTTTGTTTCAATATAATTTATTTCGATATTAATTTGACTCGCCTTCTAGTAGCAACAAAAAAAACAGCAAATAAACCTTTTTTGAGGAAACCTTTATTTATTGTTGTCGACAAAATGCTACGAAATGGTAACTTTACTTATTAAACGGGCCTAACAAAATAAAAAAGCGCTAAAGTTTGGCACGAAAATACCACCACGCAATTAAAGTAACGCGCAAATAAAAATATAACCATTTTGACAACGTACGGTTACAAGTGCAAACGACAACCGCTAACCGACTTATCCGCTTAACATAAACACTAGAATCCAGCACTAAGAGCAAGGCAAAAACAAAATGTTTCAGGCACATAAATGAACTTTACATCAAATACAGTTCTAACTTGGTCTTTAGAAACGAGTTATCTAGTGGTAACACAGTTGTACGGCATTTAACTGCATGAAGGGCATCAATACACTTAAGAATTTTTCAATTTCCTTCAGATATATCTATTACCTGGACTTCCAAGTCGAAGCTGATGAAGCTGGAGCACCAGAAGAGACGACATAATTTGCTCTGCATCTCCCCCTTCGCGTTGATGCGGTAGATGTACTCCCGTCTTACATAGTAGTCCCAAGCACTGTAGCCGCCGAAGAGCAAGACCACGACGAAGGAAGCTACGGCCAAGCCAAAGCGTACCTGCACGTGATATTGCTTCATTTTGTTGCGATTGTTTCCCTTCCTCACTGTACAAGAAAACACTTCCCATATGAATGATAGAGAAAGAAATCTCCCGTTATAGTCACCTCTAGATGGCGTGGATCCGTGGATGGGCTGTGCAGAATGCTAAATGAACGGTTGCGTTTAGCAGTGACATGGCAAAGCAAATGGTTGTGTGTACGTTTATACAGCCGGAAGTTATTCTGCCTCGATGGGCGTCCGGTGTCTCGGCTGTAGATGAGCAATTTAGCCAGTGCAGTACAACCGCTAGCCTGGGGTCTTTAACGTGCACCACGCAGTAGTGATACACGACCGCACGTCGGTACGATGTTCATCCATGCAGTGACATAAGATTCTTTGCAATCCGTTAGTAATCCTTAATCTAATCGGAAATTAGTTAATTTTCGAGACTACAAACTTTGGCAAGGTGGTGCAAGCCAATGAAAAGGGTTCATCCGTAGCCATCTACTCATCTAGCGAAAGTGCGTGTACCAGGCTGTGAAGAGGCGCTTTTGTTAAGCAAACTATAATTTCGGACATTCCAAGCACTTCCGGCCACCATGACGCTGGTCGATGATCCTTTCCAGTTCGGGTAGACTATGCATGTTTTTAAAGGGAAGCATCTTAGCGAAGTTTCCCCTTTGTGGATGCAATTTGTACTTCGAGATGTTCTGCGCGTTCAGTGGCTGCGAAGATTCTATAGTGTTGTGCAAATGACTGCGCAGCTTTTATTTGCCAGATCTATGAAAAATAAAGGAAGCCGCGGGACGCTGCTGTGTAGCCTGGTAAGTCGCTGTCACGTGCGCTTCAATTTCACGCAAACACTACGAATAATCAAATCATTTTTTAAATCGAGGATGCATGAATTCGTCTCAAGCAGAATGCTAAGACGCGAGAAAATGAACATTCAATAAAATATAATTAATCTTCGCCAGTTTCGGAGATTCGCATGCCAAAAAATAAAGATATTAGTTAATTAACATCTGAAACTTAAGTGGGGTGCGCCTTAAATGCCACACCTGAAGAGATGCCAGCTCAATTTTCAAATTCCTGATTTTTATTACATAATAAATCTTGGTACTGCAAAGAATATTTCATAATAGAAATAATTATTATTTTTGCTGTTAGTATTTCTGGTTCTTAAAGCACGTGGCTTTCACTCACTCGCGTTAATTTTCGTGTGCAAGTGCGTTTGTGAACAGACCGTTTATGTGAGAGTCTTCAACCATAGAGTTATTATAATGTACGCTAGAGGTTCAACTGGCACTAGTACATCTGTTGCGGCAAATCGAAGCAGACAGCAATCAGTCAGAAACTGACTTCCGGAAGTGCAGTTTCATAGAGAAAATGAGTGCGTTTTCTCTCTGTGCTCGATTATAAAAAGGAATATCACGAATAATTCACACGTACTAGGTAGACTGGGACATTTCTCAGTCAGGCAGACGAAATAATTGATCAGTTACAGCGTTTTCATTTCGCTTTCTTGGCATTAACAACGGTGCTAAAACGGCTTCGTCCATCTATTTAAGTGCGCTGTCAGACACTGTTAGCACGCAAACGGCGTCGGCGTTTTCCAGCATTGGTTACATACGTGCCAAACGAAGGAAGGACATGTTGAAAACCAAGAAAGACGCACGAACTACGCAGTAACACTGGATAAGCAACTCCTTGTGCATGGAAACGATCAAAATAAATTGAAAGCCGCGTAATAAATCCAATTTGTAATAAATAAGTACGGTTTTATTCTTTCTGCTCATGAATATGCGGGAAGATGTTGTTGTGATTCCAAAACATCGCCCGAAGGCTCGAAATCTTTGAAAATATAGATAAGCCGGAGAACAGGTGCCCGGTAAAAGCCGCCCGTCATAGCAAATAATAAAAAGACGCATCGTTCGTAGAACACGTACTTCATTTTTTACGTTTCGAATTTTCTTTTAGCCGCCAGTAAGACGAACGACGGGGTCATTTTCGTACAGTGACAGGACGGGCATATTAGTAATATATAAGCACCACAGGAATGCTGGCGAACCTTGAGTACACTGAAGATTCCTTTCAATTGTTATGTAGCATAGAATCGTCGCTTGTCTTTACATACCTGCTATGGAATGCAGGTTTGGGCCTGAAATATAGCGAAGTTTAGCATCATTCAGTGGTAAAGAGAAATTATGTAAATAAAGCAATTACACTTTTACAGTGTTAATACAGGTACGTACTATTCGGTAGGGCCCAAATGAAAAAAAATATCAAGGTTATTTTTCGGCGACGAGACAAAACGCAAGCGAGTTTTCCCATAGGAATGCACAAACGCACCGCAAAAGTAGACTTGTTCCTCTCTGCTTCAATTTTCCTCCCAAAAGTCGCATAGATAGACACTAACACCAGTAGAACCTCTGGTGTACATTATAATAACTCTATGTCTTGAACAAACACCATCCGGGTAACCAACAAACTAACTATAAAAAAGAGTAACTTTCGGGAGCTTATGTGTTAATGCTAGCGGAGGAATGAGGATTGTTATCTTTCCACGTGGGAACTGAACCTGTAGGTTCGTAAGCCGGCACTTTGCCTGAACTATAGTGGAAGCCCCAAAAGGTTGCTTTCTATATAGCAGCATACCATAAGGAGTCTCTTCATTATACGTTTGAAGCGAGATACAAAACATAGGATGTAATCATTGATATAATCCTCTCGATCAAATTAGTCGCCCTCATCGCACACGACGAGGTATGCCTGCACTGTATATGTCCCAAGAGTTTCGCGTCATCATCAGTGAGATGGACACAAAGTTTTTTTCTTTTTTTTTATCTTATCATTGGCGTTATAGAATCTGAAACACCTTTTACACGTCCTTTCTGAAACGCCTTTATGTGAATATCATTAACTGAATTGCTGCGGTAGACTGACCTTGTCACACTCAGCATATCTTCACTTGTCGTAGATAACGCGCCGCTTGCTTTCTGCCTTGCACGAGCGGCTTAATTGCGCACATTGCAGGCATTGACACAATGACGACATCTCCGCTCGTCGCCAGAAACGCGCTTTTGCTTTTTGCCGAGCACGAGCAGCACCATCATTCGCACTCTTCTTGCATCACGACCGTCAAACACATCGTAGTTTTGCTTTGGCCAGCTTGAGCAAGCACGGCGAGAACGAGCAGACGAGGAAGCGGCGTGTGCTGATGCACGCACTTACTGCAGTGGCTTAAAGCAACCGGCAGAATCTTCCTATTAGCGGTGAGATGTTTCGGTGTCGCCCTCGTTTGGTTACCTTTCGTGACGTCATTGCTTAGTCAACAACGAGTTCGATGGTGTTTGTAATGAGCATGGTGAAAGCCTGAAATCATAGCGCTCTCAAACCAACACTGCCAACACCGTCGAAATTGAGGTTCTTACATTCCTCTCATTTGCGTCGCTGAGAAATTTTTTGCTGACCTAATAGTCAGCATTCGGCTACTTGTAATGGGCCGATTACAGCGACGCTTTCGATCGCTCACGTTGCCAATACCTCCCATTGGGACTCCAATTGCAGACGACAGCGCCAAATCTCCCCTAACGGGCGTTGGGTTTTTCCAAGAATAATAAGAAATAAACAAAACAGTACGCGCGCCGTCGTCATGGCAACCACTAGGTTATGGGCGAGGGTGCGAGAAATGTTGTCCCTCCTCTCCCTTCTCTCCCACCATCGGCGAACTCCGAACGAACTTGCATATCTTAAAGGGATACTTCAACGAAATTTGAAATATTCCCGTCGTGTTCAAAATTAGGTTGAATATGATCCACAATATCTGTAAATGACAATCGCACGTTTGTATTTTGATCCTGGTGGCTGTATACTTCGTTATAAACGGCCCAGTCTGGCAAGCGTTCGGAGAAGGCCCAGCTTAGAGCACGTGACATCCAACGCAATCGTGACGTAGGTCGTCTCAAGACGAGCAAAGCTACGGCCAGGCTGACGTCGAGAGGATGGCCTAGTCGTGCCAGCCACCGAAGCGGCTGCTTTTGTACGAATTTTGAGCGACGGGTTAATCTTCTATAATCTTCTAGGGGGACAATAGCGACTTCTGCGACACACAAAAGGGATTCTCGGGAAGAGGGGAGTTTCTCCTTCCCCCCTTCTCTCGTCGTGGCCAAAGACGAGACAACTTCCGTCACTAGCTGTCAAGGTTCCTAGACGAGCATTACAAACGAGGCGTTAGCGACATCCACCAGGTGCTCTTTGCTAATCGTTTAATTCATTTTAAAATTCCTTTTCCAGACTTTTTTAACAAGATATTTGTATGTTCCATGTAATACTGCTCTTTTGAACACATATAGACCAAAAAATGAGCGCCGAAATTTCGTTGTAGTATCCCTCGCCGATGTTGAGAAAAGGGTTAACTGATCCCATCGCCGCCGTCTCGTTCTTCTACAAAACAATGTATGGCAATATCCGCTTTAGAAAAAGAAGAGCGTTTACCTTTCTCTGCGAATGCTTGACGCTACCGAAACAATTGCAGTTGACTTTGCGTCGCTCGATTGAGATCGGCTCAGCAACAGTTCATGTTCAGTGACAGCCACTTCCGATTAGATCGTCAATCAATGAATGCAACGTGCGCCCAGCCGCTGGTGTTTTGCAGCTTAAAATGGGCGCATATCGCAAGTCTGAGCACAAGTCCAAACTTCTTTTGCGAGTTTTCTTTTTATTAGGCAAGCTTTTATAGAGAAAAAAAAACAGTCAGTTTCCGCCGTAAACCGGAAGTTCATAATAGAATACCAACGAATAAGAGCAACGAACGAAACCGGAGAAGCGGCACAGCGTTGGAAGACGGCTGCGGGTGGCGCTGGCGCTTGCAAGTTGCAGCACCGTCGTTCCGGCTATGGCTCCGGCCAGCTGCGGCCGATTCGCAGCTGTCGACTACATATAGAGATCCTACGTACTAACTCTAGAGAAAAAGGTCCGCCATTTTTCCATGCATTCTGGCTGCCGCAAGCGGCGGAGCA